AATCCATTGCCATCGTCGGTGCTGGTGGTGGTCTCGGTTCCATCGCTGTCCAGTACTGCAAGGCCATGGGTATCCATGCCATTGCCATTGATGGTGGTGAGGAGAAGGGTAAGCTCACCAAGGAGCTCGGAGCCACTGCCTACGTCGACTTCACCACAACCAAGAACCTTGTCGCTGATGTCAAGGCTACCACCTCCGATGGTCTCGGACCTCACGCTGCTCTCCTCGTCGCTACCAATGAGAAGCCCTTCCAACAGGCTACCCAGTACATCCGCTCTCGCGGTACTGTCGTCTGCATTGGTCTCCCCGCCAATGCTCAGTTCTCTGCTCCCGTCTTCGACACAGTTGTTCGCATGATCTCCATCAAGGGATCTTACGTCGGCAACCGTGCTGATACCGCTGAGGCCATTGACTTCTTCCGTCGCGGTCTCATCAAGGTTCCCTTCAAGACTGTTGGTCTCTCTGAGCTCAACGACGTCTACAAGCTCATGAAGGCTGGCCAAATTGTCGGTCGCTACGTCGTCGACACCAGCCGATAAGCGCGCGGCTGTCGCTTGGGCAGTGCGCCAAAAAGCAGAAGCAAAAGCACGCCCCCAAAAAGATAAACAGGGCTACCCATCGCGCAAAGGGGTTTACCCTCTAAAGAGGAGTTCAGGCGGGAGTTGATTTGGGTTTTCTGGCGGGTGTTGTCGAAGTAGCCAGATGGATGATCTTGGTTACACTTTGTGTATAGCCCTAGTTTATGAGTTTTATGATTTTCTTTAGCATCAAATAACAGAACGAACATTTCGATCAACAACGGTCTCCAAGTGACATGTTTCACAATGCGCTATGATATGAATAATACAGTGCTCTTCAGTAAACTCTCAAATGACGAGGAGCAACGCCTTACTCCATGCTACCTTGCATCGCTGTCTGCTTGCTGTTCGAGTTCGACTTGAAACCCATTGTGCATAGTCTATAAAAGGGTGAATGTTGCTCGAGATAACAAAATGTCCAATTTTTTACTATGATCCTCTATCCGAGAAGAACTATCCGAGAGGTTTTTTATTGAGTCTTTTCGAAAAGCATGCTTAACAATACGGTAAAGTTCTCTGAGCTGTCTCACTTGGTCTCCATGTATCACAACAGATGGACTTACATGGACCGCTGATTTCGAACATGCTTAGCCAGCTTGCAGATGGATTGTCATATTAATAATTACACACACTTGCATGGAGACATTCCCACGGAGTTCCTCCAAACGTCCAAGTCAAGTTGTCTCACCATGACTAACACTGTACATTCTAACTACTAGGAGACGGGATAATATCATGTATGAAAATATCACCATGACGGGGGTTGATTTACCCCTCTAGCCCCTCCATCCACTACGAATCTGATGCAACCCTCTCTGCAAGCACCCCTGCCAGCCACCAAGCCGCTTCTAGAACATCATCAACCGTCCAGAAACAAAAAAATCAGACCACTGCTTATGAAGGGCATGTAGAGCGTCCAGGCGTATCTTTTACAAAGGGACCGTTTTCTTGGCTGCAGAAGTTCTTTCTTGTCTTGAACATCAATGGCAGGGGATAATTGCATTTATGAATCATGATATGAGAGACTGCTAACGGAGAACGCCTATATTTGACTTACCGACGTGCCGAAGTTCAACGCATCATGCATTCATTGATTAGACTCTAACGTTGCTACGTACTTAGTAGAGCGGGGAAAAGAGACGTGTTTTTGGAATATGAAGTTTAAAAACTGCTAATGTAACTCTTCAACACGTGCTACCGTCTCGTCTCGTCTCTTCTCGTCTCTTCTCGTCTCTTCTCGTCTCTTCTCGTCTCTTCTCGTCTCTTCTTCTCGGTCTCTTCTCGTCTTGCCATCTCTTGTCTCCCACTTGTAGTTGCATCGCTTTAGGCATAATTGTCAATTGAGATTTTTGCGCTACGAGCGCCTCTTCATTGCACTCTCCAGTAGACGCCCACTATTCTCTTCTGCGTACTCCAAGAATATGTCTTTCTAGGAAGCTTGCTGTTGATCCGGGGAGTCATTTGAAGAGTGATTCTTGATCGTCTATATCGTAAATCAAGAGCCACCGGGTCCACCGAGCAGAGCGAATCTTCGCACAATGCTGGGTCCATATTCTTGGTACTGTGATGTTGTTAGTCATGGTTATTATACAGTGTACAATTCGCCTTACCTCGGCCTTGGTATGGCAGTACGATCGGAACTCAGGGGTTTGACCAAGAAGACTGCCTCCGAACCAAGGACCGTGTCGCTGTCGCTTATGAGTGATAACGGACACGTCCAGACCACCGCTACGAGCACCACCACTGCGGACCTCGCTGGCTCGAATCCTGGCATCTACCAGCTGCTTGATGTCTCGCTGTAATCGGCGACCGAAATCCTTGTACAATGTGCTTCCACCAGAAAGAACAATGTTCTTGTAAAGACCTCGTCGGACGTCGATAGGCGATTGCTGAATGACACCGTCGACAACCACGGGCAGAGGAGTCAAGAAGTCGGAGCTGTAAATCTCGGGATTGAAGAAGATTTCAGGGGCAAGGAAGCGCTCGTAACCGACGTCTACGGAAACCTGTCGGCCATTGGGGTGTGACACAACGTGCTGAGCGAATCGAGTGCGATCCCGGTCGTACTTGCTGAATTCCTTGACGATATCGGGACACACGTAGCAATACTCCTCCTTAATCTCCTGAGCCGTTTTGAGCGAAGAATCGGGCTCGCCTCGGTCTCGCAGAAGGGACTGAACGAAGTAGGTGATATCTCGACCGGCAATGGGAATTGACTTGATAGAAGATCCAATAACATAACCCTCGGCAACGGGAATGACGTGTGTGACACCATCACCAGAATCAATGACCGTGCCAGTCAACGAACGATCCTGGACCTTTGAAGATGTCCAAGAAGCAGCCAAAGCAAGAACGGCCTGGACGGCAATGTACATTCCAGCACAGTTGAACGACTCGAAGAAGATCTCGGCGGTATTCTCACGGTTCTCGGGCGGGTTCAGGGGCTATGTGTATTAGTTTGATGTTTGACGTCGTATAGGGCGCAAGATGCTCACGGGCTCGGTAAGGAGGAAGTAATGATCTTCAGGCTCGACTCGCAGATACTTGAAGATGGAGTTGGACCAGAATCGTTCCATGTGGTCCTAAAGGCGGTCAATTATAGGTCATGTCGGATTCGTCGGCAAGCATACCCAATTCTCTATTTGGCCGTGTCGGATCGGATAATGAAGACCATATCCTAAGCTAGTCAGCTAAATTCAATGGATTGGAGCTCATACGGCTGCCTACCAGGTCCGCCAGAAGCCGCTATCGCTTCGTCGCCAATAAAGAAGTCGAGATCCTCGGTACCTCGCTTTCCGCTCAGATGGCCTCCAGCCCCAGCACCTCCCGTAAGAAAAGATGGCTTGTTCGCAACAGCCGGTCGTCCAGAACCAGAGCCACCAGCTCCGCCAGTTGGCCCCTTTGTCGCAATCGCGGTCGGGAAGACGAATGAGGGAGAATCGTTACCAGCGAAACCTAGATTGGAGCGTCAGCATGAAGCTCAAGAGCACATGATAGCCTCAGAAGCGTATATCGTAGTTACACACCTAGCTTGGAGAAACCCGTGCCGCTGTGAGCTGAGGTTAGCTGTCGTCGTCAGTGCGGGGGCTGGGATAAGTGAGACGTACTTGTCCATGACAACGGCGGGAGTTTGGTTAGCCATGATGGGCGAGAGTGCGTGGTGAAGCGCACAGCTGCAGCAGAGAAGATGGACAAGAGGTGGACGCAAATGCCGCGTGTGAGGAATTGCAATGTGCGGCGATGATGGTGGTCGTTGGGCGAGGATTACGTTACGTGCCTTGTAAAGCTCCCAGCTCGGATGGAGGTGAGGCTTGAACTGCGGCTGTGCTGTGCCCCGCCGTTGAGTGGGACGTGACACAGAATGGCTGGAGATGTGGGCCTGGTTGTTGCGATAATCGTCTGAGTGACAAAATTATAGACCCAATTGGCAAGTTGAACAAAAAGAATTATATGTTGAAGGGTGACAAACCAATTGTATTTAGTATCTAACAATGCAATGTCTGTCTATCGGTTCACTCCTGTATATCTGAGCTTGGTAAGCTTCCAAAATGCTTGGTTTGACATGGTCTTCATCTCAGCTTGAAGTTTTGATGTCTCAAGTGAGTTGTAATTATAGTCGATGTGCGACGTCATTTCTGGGCCCTTCTTAACGAGACACAACAGGCAACTGTATTTGTTCAACGTCTCTGCCTTATCGAACGCTCATCTTGAGGCTTGTGAGGTTTCTCGAAAGTAAGGTCTTTTTATAGGACCAAAGATCAGAAATGTCTCTAAATGGTTAAACTCGTAACAATTATATGTGTCCACCAACGAGGTATTGATTGGAGATTGTATAAGGTAGTTTTGTTTTCCATCTGACGATTGCTGCTTCTTGTCTAACACAACGAGTCTATCAAGCAAGGAGTGACTGATCAAAACCCGGCCCAACAGCTCCTCTAGCACTTTCCTTGTATGTAGAGTGCTTTGCCTTTCCTTCAAAGCTCGGGTCTGCCCAAAACCGCATCATCGTTCAATCTTCAACCTTTTTTCCTACAGCATTGAATCTCGTCAACATCACTTCCCGGGCCCTCCACGCCCGCCTTTCGTTTCTTTTCTTCCCTCACATCCATCAAGATCATCTCGATAATCTCGTAACATTAGACACTCGCTAGCTCATGACTTCTCTCGAGGATGTCAGACAGCTTCGATGATGATACCTCCTTTAGCTCACGATCCACCCCTCACGGAACTGATGGCGCTTTCGATCGGGTAATGAAAGTGGCACACAGAACCAAAACAGTGCCTGCTATATTTGTTCACGCCGGGGCTGGGTTTCACAGTCATCAAAATGAGCACATACATCTTCAGGCCTGTGTTGCGTGAGATATTCCCCAGTGGCCCCTGGACCCCTGTGTTTTGCTAACATCAACAAGGGCGGCTGAGATGGGCATGAGATTCCTCAAAGCCGGTGCCAGCGCAACCGAGGCCGTCGAAGCAGCCCTCCGGATCCTCGAGGATAAAGAAATCACCAACGCTGGATATGGCTCCAATCTTTCTATCGACGGTGTTGTAGAATGCGATGCCACCGTAGTGGACCATCTTGGCCGCAGCGGCGCCTGTGGTGCTGTCCCTAGTAGGGTTTTACTGCCCAAGGCGAGTTCGCCTGCTGACATCATCACAGATATTCGAAACCCTATATCCCTAGCCAAACTCGTTCTAGATATGAGCAATAAACCATTGAGCCTCAGACGAGTTGCACCAAACGCTCTTGTCGGAGAGGGTGCCAGAGCTTTCGCAGAGGAGCATGGTCTAATGATATACCCCAATGAGTACATGGTTTCGAAGAATGCTAGAGACCGTTTTCTGCGTTGGCAGGAAGATTTGAAGCGAGCCGAGTCCAAGGGTCAAGAGCCCAAAGCGTTGCCTGAAACTATTGATACAACCGCTACATGTCCCCCATGCCAATACGATACAGCATCACCGACAAGGCCACATTCATCTCTTCCACGAGATGAACGGCCTGCTGTTCTTGTTGGTACTTGGAATGAGGGGCAGCCTGACTCTCCTTTCATTGGTACACCGATCCAAGATGCGCCGTCGCTAGATCGATCAACATCCACAAGCTACTTTAGAGCTACAAGTACCTCTCCTGCAGCAGTCGGACGTTCTTCATTTACCCGGAGCCCTCAGGAGGGAGCGGCACAGACGTATGCCGGTGTTGTGAGTGGTGCCCAGGGTGTATTGTCCTCCCCATTTCGACCTAGTCTATCTCGAAAGTCCAATTCTTTAGCTGAGGATTTCAAACCTGTCTTGCCAGAGAATGCATCAACGCGCCATAAGCACCGTGCACATGCCTCAAATAAGGCCGATAATACATCACCGCGAACTCCTACTGGGAATAGGGGCAACAGCCCTGATCGCCAAAGCTCCTCAGGTCCTCGTGGGGCTAAGCGACCTCTCAGTCCTGATGAAAAGTCACAGCCTCATTCAAGAGCAGTACATGACCGCCTTCATTACGGGTCTGTTAGTGAGGACGTTATTACAGACACTATTGGTGCCATTGCGATCGATGATCGAGGCCAAATTGCTGCTGGCTCGTCTTCAGGTGGTATCGGAATGAAGCATCGAGGCCGTTTGGGACCAGCTGCTCTTGTGGGAGTTGGCACGGCCGTTGTGCCCTGTGACGATGAGGATGACGATCAGGTTGCTGTCGCTGCAGTCACAAGTGGTACAGGAGAGCATATGGCTACTACCATGGCCTCCCAGCGATGTGCGGAGAGGATTTACCATGGCACAAGACGCGGAAAAGGAGGCGCCAACATTCAGGACGACGATGAAGATGCCATCATGGAGTCTTTCATTGCTGAGGACTTCATGAAGCATCCCGGTGTCAAGAATTGCCACTCAGCAGGTGCCATTGGTGTCATGGTGGTCAAGAAAACGCCGTCAGGCTACTATTTCTACTTTGCTCACAACACAGATTCCTTTGCCCTCGCTTCCATGGGAGGCTCGGAGAGACAGCCCGTCTGTACGATGTCTAGACTTCCTTATGGCGCTAAGATCGCCAAGGGTGGACGTAAGGTCAGGTTCGAGTAAGGTGCACCATTGTACGAAAAGAGCATAGGGTTGGCGATACTGATGTGAACTGAGCTTCTGCTCGGGGTTTTGAGTGGTTATGCTATCCGCACCTATAAGTGCAATGATCGATTAGAATACTCTTATTCATTAGATTCAAGTGATAGCCTTTGAAGCATAGCCCTACGCCCGCTGTTTAGTCTGATCACTTCAATATAGATATCTGCAAACTTAGAGAGAAGTATGCGCTGGCTGTAGCATTATCTGCAATAAGTGTCATACCTGGCTGATTTCCTTAACGCCGTGAGACTATATGTACATTGGTCATGAAGGGTATATCCCGTTCTTCGCCCCCGTTCTTCAAACGATTTGCTGGCTCATTCATGGACGGGGTGTTCCTGTCGCACTCCCTGTCTCTTCCCGTGATCCACCTCCATTGACGATCTTGCGCTTCTTCTTCTTCTTCCTTGGGACAACGGCAGGTTTCGCGCCATAGTTACCCAGAGATAGTTTGGTGCCACACGTGAAACATTCCGAGTTCTCTGGCGTCTCACAGAAGATGCTCAGACAGATTGAGCAGACGAAGCCTGTGTCCACAACTCGGCCGTGACAAAAACAGGCGGCGCGGAAATCGACGGTGTCGTGTGTTGGGGCGATTAGAGCTTCGCGAGCTTCTGTGTCTGCGATAAGACCAAACATAAGGTAGTTCAGTAGTCCTTGGGGATGTGTAGCAGCGAGGTATGTGCCACCGGTGTTGTAGCAAGCCTGTTGGAGGAAAGTTGGCTCGCCAGTAAGAGAGAGAGTATCGATAGCGACTTGGTTGTGGCCAGCGGCGAAGACAGCGTTCATGGTGGGAATGTATTGCGAGGGGTCTGAATCGGACACAGAAATGACCAGGATTCGGCCTCGAACAGTCGGGGGAGCTGTATTCGACGAGCCTTTATGGCTGTCCTCGAGATTGGCCGTAGGCGCACAAAGAGCCTGCGCAGCTTTATTGATATGACATAGCGCCAGTGTCAAGGCTCCAGAGATTTGTGTCGTGGTCGCAGAGAGGTCCTCCTCCTTTGTCTGATCCATGAGTTTTCGAATCGCAGCCAAAACAGCAGCTTCAATCTGTGCGAACTGCGGGAACTTGTTCGCTGAGGTTTGCGTTTGCGTAGCAGCATCGTTCATGGCAACATCGCCAGAGGCGTCGCGCGAAGGTGTGGGAGGTGTTGGGTAGAGCCATTCTGCGCGATCAACGTGCGCGGCGATAAGAGCAACTTGGTTTGCATTGCTGAAGGCGAGATGGGCGTTAACGAAGACGAGGATGTTTGCTATAGCACGCGACAGGGGAAGGACACTGTTGAGCGATGCCCAGGCTCTAGGGTTCGTGTCGAGAACGATGGTGAGAAGGGAGGGAGTTTCCTCGCGGGTGCCGACCTCGTAGTGCTCTGAAACATCTACGGCGTCCATTGTGAGGATGTTGACGCTGTGAAGATGTTGGTTGGGAGGCGGCTACGAGGCCTTGAGAGTGGTTGAGCTGCCTTGGTGGCCTTACTTGAGGACTGAGGCTGCGATACCTGAGGCTGTCGCAAAGTTGTTGGACTCAAGACAAAGAAAACGGACGGATACGAGCATTGCATTTATCGCATGATCAGTTGATAACCAAAACCGCCAAAATGACGATAATTAACGCCAAACTCAATTATAGTATTGATTAAAAGAGCCTTGTTTTCTCCCTTTCTTTTAGATAACTACCTACCTTGCCTACCTTATTCCTCGACGCGGCTATCATAGTCTAGATGGAAGAGAAAATCTGACCCAATTGTTGATTAGACGTCATCTACAGGCATAATCCCTCCCTAAGGTAGGTAGCTCGGGCAGCTCTTCAAACGCCTGGCCACGTGATGGCCAACTAAAATGCATCAAGCGTCAGTGAACTTTGATCTAACGTTAGTGGCTCAAGCCCAAAGCCCAGGCCCAAGCCCAGTCAGTCTCACAAGCTCTCTTGTGGTAGGTTGAGGTTGTGGTGGAGGCTGTGACGGGTCTTCTTGCCTTGTGCGCTTTACGATTTACATCACAAGGTTCCAGTTTCGGGCTCTTCCACTTTCACTTTCATTTCCTTAACTAAGGTAACTAGCACCTCAAAAACAAAACAAGACTTTCTCTCTCTCACCTACACATTCAATCAATAAATATTCCATGGCAGAACCTACAGAAGTTGCTTCTCAGGTGCCTCCAGCCCCAGCCCAGTCGCTGGAGGACCAGACCCTTATCGTATTTGCGCGCCTCATGGAGGGCGGACAGGAAGATAACGAGACATGCCGCGACCTCGACGAACTGACTAAGCTGCTCAACGACGACTATGAAGCCCGTCAGAAGGACAAGTCTCGTGAGACTATTTGCGAGGTCATCGATGGCGACTGTGTCGACACCGTTTTGTGCTATCTTGATATGAGACAGCCTGAGATAGTACGCGGCCACGCCACTCTCTCAACATCCGCATATCTCAAAGCCGCTGGCGATGACGGTTCAAAGAAGCTCTCAACTTTCTTCTTTGACCGTGTGCGAAGGGGAACTTATGATGACTACATTGTTGCCTTTTGTGTCGCCGCTGCGACATTTCCCATTGTCCCCGATCTCACTGCCCAACTGTTTCTCAACGAAGATTTCCTACCCAGCCTCGGCACACTTATGCGACGAAAATGGAAGAGCCGCAAGGTCGAGACGGCCTGTTTGGAGATGCTCAACGCTGCTTGCATGAACTCACTCTGCCGCGAGGCTATCAACAAGTACTGCATCGAGTGGCTCGAGGAGATCGTCGACCAAGACCTTAGTGAGGCTGTTCGTAGCATGAATGCAGACCCAAACCTTCAAAGCGATGGAGGCTCCATTTCGATGAGGCGGCACTCCGAACAGGTCCAGTATCTTGCCGCAGTCATCTTGGCCAAGCTGAGGGTGAGATAAGATGCCTATGAGCTCTGTATTATCACTGACTGACCCAGCTTTCAAGGCAGTTCCCGCTAAACCAGCACCCGGTGAAAACAAGTCACGAATCGAGCCTGCAGTCACTAGTATCGAAGATCTCTCTGGAATGTTCACTAAGATGATACTGAGAGATGAAGATCATGGACGAAAGCACTCTATCGAAGGTCTCGCATACGCCTCCCTTCAACCTAAAGTCAAGGAGTCTATTGTCAGCAACCCGGAGTTGCTCCAGAAGTTGGTCAAGACTCTTAGAGAAGCCCAGCCAAGATCTCCAACTACTTATGGAGCTTTAAGCATCTTTGTCAACCTGACGAAATACCTGCCCACCCTAACAGAGGAAGAAAAGAAGATGAATCAGCTCAAGGCATATGCGAATGCTGCCGGGAAGCTTGGCGGTCCCGACCCCCTGAATGACGACGAGCATGTCGCAAAGCGATGCAAGCTGGTGTTTGATGCAGGTATCACACCGGTTCTCGTCACCCACAGTAAGAATGGCTCGCCCGCTTCTCTGGGACTTGTCATCTCCATCATTTTCTCCCTTTCCGTTGACAGGACTCTCCGCGGCCAGCTCGCTCAGCAAGGAGCGGTCAAGCTTCTCCTGGTATCATGGATGTCCCTGCCTCAAACTGAAGCTGCTTCACGTCGTCTTGCAGCACAAGCCCTGGCCCGCATCTTGATCAGCACAAACCCTGCACTAGTCTTTGGTGGCAACCGTGACACCCCTATCATTGCTGCTGTCAGACCGCTTGTCTCCATCATCCCACCCGACCCTGCTGCTCAGACACGGGACCTGCTCCCTTCCTTCGAGGCACTTATGGCGTTGACCAACCTCGCGTCGATGGATGACGATGCGACCAGACGTAGTATCATCAATACAGCATGGAACCAGATTGAAGAACAGATGCTGAGTTCCAACACTCTTGTCTCCAAGGCTGCTGTTGAGCTTGTTTGCAATCTGGTGCAGCAACCAGAGGCTATCGCACTCTATGCCGAAGAGACTGCCAAGGCCCGTAATCGCCTTAATGTCCTCCTCGCCCTTGCTGATGCCCCTGACGCCGGGACTCGAAGTGCAGCTGGCGGAGCTTTAGCTTCACTCACCAACTTTGAGGGTGTCATCCGGGGCATTATTAACCGAGACCGCGGTGTGAAAGTCATCCTCGGAATGTGTGTCGATGACAGCGAGGATATCCGTCATCGTGGAGTGTTTGTGGTAAACAACTTGGTCACTGCAGAGGGCGAGGTCGGTGAGCTCGCACGAGAGAAGGTCAAAAGCGAGGGTGGAGTTGAAACTCTTACAGAATGTGCTAAGAAGAGTCGAAGCAACGACGTTGTCGAGCTGACAGTTCAGGCTCTTAAGGCTCTGTTAGGAGATCAATCATGAATGAAGAATGACGAAAAACATATACATTGTTGTGAAGGCGGCGCAGATCAGCATTTTTTAGGTTGCGGAATGAGGCAGCGGGTTTCCAAGGTTGCAATGATTATGACTATGGCAATGGCAATGAAATCTATCATGTTTTCCCTTGATCCAACCCAAGCAAACGCCGTGTATTTTTATCTTATGCCGTGGTATCGACCCTGTTGAGAATAGCAACGCCCTCTACATGACCTGTCTGAGGAAAGAAATCAAATCCTCGAAGACTCTCAATCTCGTATCTCTGGCCCTCTCCTTCACCACGCACGAGCACACCGACATCTCTGGCCTGTGTATGCACGTTGCAGCTGACATACAGAACTCGTCGAGGGCCGAATTTTCGTAACTGATTTAAAAAGTCTGCATCACAGCCCTTACGGGGAGGATCAAGAACCACAACGGTCTCGTCACGGTTGTAGGTAACGCTCTTGAATAGTTCACCAGCATCGGCGGCGATGAACTTGCAGCGATCCTCTCCCATACCGTTGAGGGCGGCGTTGCGACTTGCGTAGGCGATGGAGTCGGCTGCAATGTCGATACCGATAGAGTGCTGGAAGAGCGAGGCGAGAGTAACGGTGAAGAGACCAGAACCTGAATAGGCGTCGATCAGATACTTTATGTCCATGCCCGTGCCGGCAGGAGGGAGAATGTTGTCTCGGACGAAGCCGGTGAAGGAGGGAAGAATGGAGTTGTTGTTCTGGAAGAAAGATCCAGCTGGGTTGGTGAAGGTGTAAGGGCCGATGTATTCTGTTGTGGTAGCCTTGGAATCAGTGATGCAGGACTTGATGTCGACAGTATCCTCATTCTCAACACGGACGGTGTAAGGTTCTGCATCACTCTTGACCTCCTCGCTGTCCTTGGGGACTCGCTTCGTGTTCTCTCGGAGAAGAATCGTAGCACCACGCTGGTACTTCCCAAACTCTTTCTGCATGCGCTCGCGCTCTCGTGCCATACCCAGACGCACAGCATTGGTACCAATCGGGCAATCCTCAATATCCAAGACCTTTCGACGACCTTTTTGCATAAATCCGATATCAGGGCACTTCTCAAAGGGAATTCGGGGGTTCTTTCCTCTCTTGCTGGGTCGGAATCCAGGGGGCCCGTCAAAGTGAGGCGTGAGCTTGGTGCGGTAGTTGTACTGCAGAGGACTTCCCATTGTATCCTGGACAGCAGGGACGATGTTGGGATCGAGGTTTGAGAAGTTCTTGAAAGCCTTCTCGACAATGCGCTTCTTGAGTTTGAGTTGCTCAGGGTATTCGAGCATCTGAAATTGGCAGCCGCCGCATGAGGCGAAGTACTTGCAGTTGATGCGGGCGTCGTCGCGAAGAGGAGAGGGCTTTGTAATGGAGATGAAGTCGGCGAGGGTTTGGGTTTCGCGACGAAGATGACGGAAGACCTTGACCTTTGCAGTGTCGCCAGGAACTGTGAAAGACACAACATAGACCTGATTTGAACCAGGCTTCATACCAAGACCATCACCTGTAGACGAAAGCTCCAAGATCTCAACTTCTGTCTCAGTGCCTTCCTCTGGGAGGACTTCTGGGCCGTGCTCTGTTCCCTCGCCATACTCAACAGCTCGCTCTTGAAGAAGGGCCTGGATGTCGTACTTGAGGACTTCCTCAGATGAACCCTCAGTGATATTCTTTTCCCTCTTCGTCTTCTTCTGCTTCCATTGGCGATTATTCTGCTGGTTTGGCCTCTTGTTCACTTGCTGAGCGTTGCCGTTTACTTGTTGTGAGGTGCCATTTGGCACAGCTTCTGCTTGTGCGCTCGCCATGACTGTGAAGGGACGGAAATTGTATGGGCGAGGTTTGATGAATGTGGCTAAAGGTGGGAGTCTCAGACGCCTCATGAACGAACAATTCGATTAATCCAAATTTTCTGTAAGAAGAATGAGATTTTGACAGGAGATTGTGAATATTTTGGGATGTTGATATTGACAAAGATTTCTTAAAGATGAGAATGAGACGAAGAAATGTTTCTTGCAGAGGCCCCACTTGGAATTCGGGGACGGTGGGGCCGTAGTTGTCTTCTTTTTTAAGCAGGATCTGATTGGCTGATCACCCAAGAGCATGATCTCGCATAGATCTTTCTTTTCCATCATGAGTGCTCTTAGTACATTATTTCTATGATGGACAGTTTGAATTAGCATTAAGAGTACAAAGAAATCTTGGTAGAGAATTAGTCCAGTATCAGGACATGTCAAGGTTTTATGTCCTCTGAAGGTGTCAAATACCACAGATATTCTTCCGTAATGACTTGACTATTCATAAATGGAGTTAAAGTAAAATAATTACAACATCTGGCTTCTCATCCAATTACCTAATAAGCTTCTATATAGAACATTCCGTTATTTAAACAATTTAGACTCATAAACACCCCGAGTCAAATTAGGGAGCACTTCCTCCTGACTATCGCTATCATGATAGTGATTGGTTTACCCTATTTCCTAGACTGGCAGGTGATCGCCTCACGAGCCTGGAGCCTGAAGCCTGCAGGAGACCATGCATCTACCGGGGTGTTCCGACAATCGGCCCTCCCTCACTCCCAAATTCTGGGGTTATTCCTTATCACGTCAATACCGACTTCTATTATCTGCTTTAGAAATCAACTAACAACAACATCCGTTCAACTTGGAGGCGGTCTCTTCGTCTCTCACTTTATCACTCCCTTTTTTGTATTAATACTTCCTATTCTATTGCTTTCACGTGGAGTTTGGATATCCTTATCAAACCATCATTTCCTAGTAACGACTTACAGTGACTAAGTTATTGAGGCGACTAGTCATGAAGGGCGCGTATTGATTTCTAATCCCAAAACACACACCTCTATCATCAAGATGAAACTCCCATTACTATTACTGGCCTCCAGTATCCATTATGTCTCTGTATCAGCAAGTCCCATATTCCAAGAGTTCTTTTCTCCAGGTGTTGGTACCAGAGGAGCCGTTGCTTCAGAGGCTCAAGAATGTAGCTACATCGGGAGAGATCTGTTAGCACGAGGTGTAAGACTTCTCATTTCTTCTCCATATAAACACACCAACTAACCATCCCAGGGAAATGCCGTCGATGCCATGATTGGAACGACATTCTGTGTCGGTGTTATTGGCATGTACCACTCCGGCATTGGAGGCGGTGGTTTCATGATTGTGCGTGACAAGAAGGGTAACTACGAAGCAATCGACTTCAGAGAATCAGCCCCTGCAGCAGCATTCGAGGACATGTACCAAGGGAATGTGAATGGTAGCATCTACGGAGGCCTTTCTGTTGGTGTACCAGGCGAAGTCCGTGGGTTTGAATATGCACACAAGAAATACGGCGTATGAACCACAAACACAACTAACCGAAAGCCACCACAAGCTAACATTTAAGCAGAGCCTTCCATGGAAAACAGTCTTACAAGGGGCCATTAAGGTGGCTCAGGATGGATTCATAGGCAAGTCCAAGTATAGGGAAGAAAAGGAATTCCAAGCTAACAAACGTCAGTCAATGCCGACATGGCAAGGTTTATCGAGAAGACCATTAGAGGCCATCACAACTTTTTTCTCGAGGACCCCTCGTGGGCAGAAGATTTTACCCGGAATGGTATGCTTTTGAACACCCAATGTTAGGACCAGGGTTCACATGTAGCAGGACAGCTTATCCCAGAAGGAGAGAAAATGACAAGACGACGATATGCCCGGTACGTTAAGGTTCGATGCCAGACTTGAATATAGCTAACCAACCCAGTACACTTCAAGCTATCGCAGAACATGGCGCTGATGCCTTCTATACCGGCGCTTTCGGTAAGTCAACCCTGCACATGTGTATTGATTAGATGATAACATGGCACAGCTGAGAGCATGGTCAAGACCATCCAAAAAACAAATGGTACCATAACACTGGATGACTATAAGAACTACGACGTAATTTCTCGCGAGGTTCTTCACACTGAGTACAAGGGCTTCGATGTATACGGCATCAGCAGTCCAGCCGGTGGCGCCGTATCACTCAATATTCTGAACACTATGAACGGCTACACGCACCAAGATGAGGATCGAAACACCACACTACACATCTACATCGAAGCCATGAAATTCGCATACGGAGCTCGTCTGCACCTTGGCGATCCTGACTTTGTGGATGGCGTCCCTGAGCTCGAACACGAGATGCTCAATGCCACAACGGCAGAGAAGATCAGGAGTAAGATCGACCCTCGAAAGACCCAGAAGATTGAGAAGTATGACCCCGATGGAATCTACTCATCTGATGGGCACGGAACTTCACACGTCGTCACTGCAGATGGCGATGGTATGGCTGTGTCGCTGACAACCACTGTCAATCTCATCTTTGGATCTTTCCTCATGGATCCTCTCACTGGTGTGATTCTGTAAGTGTTACCAACCTCTTTCTATTCTACACTCATAGACTAACCGTTACAGAAACAACGAAATGAACGACTTCTCTATTCCGGGAGTTCCTAACGAGTTTGGTTTCGCGCCAGCAGAAGCAAACTTCATTCGTCCAAACAAGCGCCCCCTTTCCTCATGTACACCTCTCATCGTATCCAACAAGGACGGATCTCTCTTTGCCGTCATCGGAGCCGCAGGGGGCTCACGTATCATCTCCGCTACGACTCAGGTTGCTTGGCGTGTATTGACTTCTCCATCGTGGTCTATCAAGGATGCTGTTCGTGAGCCCCGTGTTCACAACCAGCTCATCCCGAATACGCTGCTCGTGGAGAAGAAGTTCAGTTCATATGATGTTCCATCGCTGGTGGAGCGAGGGCATAATATCACTTGGGTCGATGAGGGACTGAGTACAGTTCAAGCGTTGACGAGGGACTCAGCTGGTCTCTTTGAGGTTGCGCCTGAGCCTAGACAGAAGAACAGTGGCGGTGTGACATTGTAGACAGCACGGGATGATATGGAAGCATAGATGGTTATATTCCTGATTGAGCAATCAGCAATTCTAGACGGACATAGCATACAATATAAAACATTGACTACATTATGCCCAAGCTTTGTGCTTGATGTATTAATTTCTCTAAGCTGTCTCTTCTCTCGCTGAATCTTAGAAAAGGGGTATCCTTTAGTCTATCTCCAAAAAGTCTACGCTTTTTGTTTCGCAAGTGACACCAAACGTGCCAACTGAACCGTCCACTTCTTTGCAAACTCCTCCTCGGTGAATCTCTTTGCCGACTCTCGTGCACGCAAGCGGACTGCCAGAGGATCTGGTAGTGACAAGGCCTTCTCGTAGCCCGCTGCGAATTCTTCTTCTGTTGTCGCGTGAAAACCTTTCCCATTGATTAGCAGGATCTCAACATGGCATTTTCAGTCAGCTTACCCGTTGGCTGGCCATCGATGGGCACGACGATATCGAATTTGGGCCCAGCACTGTCGTGAACCACGGAAATGAGTCCGGCAGCTTGGTACTCAACAACGCCAATTCCGAAGTGCTCATTCCACATGCCGTTGACACCCACAGATGCTCTTCTTAACCAATCCAGAACATCTGACCATGGGGCATCGAGGTGGAACTTGACACTGTCTTTGACGCCAAGCTCATTGGCAAGAAGTCGCAGCTCGTAAACACGCTTTGAATCTGAGTCATCTCGCACGCTTCCGATGAGAATCAGCTGTGCGCCCTTGGAAGCCTCACTCTTAGTCTTAAGGAAGGTAGCAAATGACTGCATGATGAGCTGATGGTTCTTTTCCGGTCGAAACTGGGCGAGGTAAACAATGGCCTTTTCCCGTCGCTTCTCACTCTCTTGGGAAACTTCGACCTCGCGCTCCATTTCTCGGACAGCGGTGGGAGGGTAGACAACTACGATCGGATCTGTCTTGCTCTTCTGCTTGCGATAGGGGCCCCATAGGCTCTTGATGTGACCTTGAGTCCAGGTCGAGTTCGTCATGACAATATCAACTGTTGAGCCAACCCAGGAGTACAGAATGGCAAAAAGTTTCCAGTAATTCTTCTTGGCGAAACCCTGAGCTCCAGCGCCCTTACCAGCATGTGCGCCCTGAGTTCCTGAGGCAGCCGTTGAATCGAGCGAGTCGAGCATGTCGGTAGAAATCGTAGGATAGTGCACATATGCTCCTGTAGGGACTTTGGGGAAGAGGAACTTGCATAGACCCAGAGCGAAGGCGTAGCCCATGGTGTCGACAAAGACGTCAGGGACCAGTAGTGAGAAAGCGTCCCAAGCCAGAACGATTGAGCCGATTGATTGGCCGAGCAGCGTGAAATGAGGCCATGTTGAGGGGAGTACCCAATCCCGCTTGGAGAGGTAGAGGAACGTTATCGTGGGAGCATGGAGCTCAATATTGAATCTTGTCTAACACGGTGTAAGCATGTCGTGGCCCACAGACAGGTTCAAGTTTTTAGGCCGTATACCTTGACTCGATTCAAGATGGCATCTTTTGTCACATTGTGATCGCCTGTGTATACCACACATTTGGCTTTGGGCCAACGATCTTGTGTGGCCCGAATTGCGGCCCAGAGCACTCGCTCTCCACCGCCTCCAGCATTGCTTCCTCATGTTAGCTAGGTCCCACCCCATGGTAGCTTATATGATAACATACCAGAACGGATGGAAGAAACCAACAATCCCAGACCAATCCTTTTGCGAGCTTAGAGTGCTTTGAAGATTATCATCGACGTCGAATATGAGTTTGGTCGCTGCGGTGCCTTGAGGGTCCTTGGCGCGGGCATCTTTATCGTCCTGTGTCATGAGGGCCAGAAGATGTGCACGACGGCCTTCTGTTCGCTTTCGAAGAGACCATCCTAGAAACCGTCGTAGAAGCCCGCCTAGTAGAGGTAGAGCTATCAGAATGGCCAGAGGCACAAGCGTCGCTAGGGACGCCATCTTGGCGGTCGGTCGTCTTTCGCGGTCAGGACACGGCAGTGTCGGGAAGGCTGTTGGGGGGAGTCGCAGGGAAATCGAGAAGCGATGAAAGACACGTGAAGAAAATGCTTCGACCAGCGATATTTATATGGCCTCAGGGGCGTGAGGCTGTCAGCTTTTGGTAGCGAAAGGCTACCATGAACGAGAGTGTGTGGGATGATAGTGTGACGTCTCCTGCTGGCCAGACCAGGTCTCAAAAAGTTCATCCACTTGTTGGTCTTGGTGGGGGATAGGTAGGTAGGCACCGACACCGCTAGAGGAACCCGAAGCTAGGTAAAGGTAGCTAGCTACCTAAGCTTTTGACTGCTGTTGCATGGAAGCTCCGAAGCTCAGTGAGTCAGTAGTGCCTATCTGACCCACCGTAGCTGCGCAAGCTACAGGGGCATAGAGGCTCCTGACCCTTGTCACTGGACCCCTTCTTTAGATTCGGTAGCCCGCGGAGACAAGAGAACTTATGATAGCTCTGCGCCCTCCAAGAAGTTAGAAAGTAATTCATCTTTTAAGAATACGAGATCAAGTATTGAACGGACCGACCAGGGCCCGTCCTGCTTTCCACGGAATAATTATGGTCAAGGGACTTCTAGACTCCATCATAAGGCCACGTCTTGTCAGTTAAGGCAATTATCCTAGTTTGAACAAGATTTCACACAAATCCACAAGCACTTGTATGTATTGCCATTAATAATAAAGCTTGGCTATTTTACTGGTTCTTTTATTAACTTATAATAATATTTGATATAAATATCCCAAGTGAGCAAGAGTGCAGTGTATAAGTGGATGAGCAAAGTTCATCCTCAAGACATTCAAGACGTTTTAAATCATGCTACACAAACGGACTCTGTAAGTTAAGAATACCACTGGTTATTGGATAACACTTGGAGAGATGGAGCATTAGGGAATGTATTGCACCTTACTATTGCCCCGTACTGTGGTGGTTCTACCTTGACAACTGATCGAGATATATTCAACGCTGAAGCGTTAGCGCTGATTGGCTGGCAACACAAAAAAATAGACCCAGTTCGACATCATCTCATACATACATAGACTTTCAAGACTCACTCACACCAGCACCAAATTCTCAATTGCACCCCCGCAACCACGGTGCTATGGGCCAAAATGTCCCTTCTCAGACGAAGTACTCATTCCATATCGCCTCATGCCAGGCCATCACTCTCAGCCATCAACACAACACGCCACATCTCACATCCAGCCATCCTCAGCTCATTAAATTCATCGCGATGCGCCAACCGCAGAAACTTCTCCGTCGCTTCTGCGCTCGGTGAGACAGTCACTGTGACGGCAGATGCCCTCAGCTGGGCTCATAGTGCTGGTGTAGCATGGTATGTGGCTATACCACTACTTGCCGTGGGCGTCAACGCAACCATCCGATTCCCTCTTCAACTATACAGTGCTCGCTTGCGGGAAGCCAGAAAACCATTGGATCCTCTTATCACAGCTTGGGCTCGTCGGCATATGATGGATAGGAGCTTAAACAACCCTGAACTTCCCGACCGTGTGAGATCGCTTCGCGTTGCAGGTGCAGTTGAAAAGTCAAGACGGAGAATATTAAAGACATGGAGTCTCCAGCGCTGGAAAGGTATGGCACCTTTACTTGGAATGGTTCCTTTTGTCACCATATCTGAGGCTCTACGAAGGAAATGTGGCGCACCCCTGGGTTGGATTAGCCACAAGATTGGCCTGGGCAATACTGGTCTGGGACCCTCGAGCAGCATGTTTGATCAGTCCTTGGTGGACGGAGGCTTATTCTGGTTCACCGATCTAGCGTCTGCGGACCCTTATTACGGTCTTCCTATCATCTGCTCGGGTATTCTGGTATGGAGTATATGGGCGAGGATGCCCAGGGAACAAATCCAGGCGCTATTGCGAATCCAGCCCTCAGGCTCAAAGATGATGGTCGCCCCCAGGCTACAACAACTTCTGGGCCGTGTCATGCTTATGATGCCCCTATTGCCACTCCTCTTTGCCGATTTGCCAAGCGCTATCTTCCTTTACTGGGGCACATCATTTGCGCTGACCCGGGTCAACGACTTCTTTATTCAACGTCTTGTTCCACCAAAGACGTCAGATTTGAGGGCACCAAAGCCGTCGAAGGAATTCCCTTTCGTGCTCAAAGACCAATCACAGATTGCAAAGGCATCTGACAAAAAGAACAATTGATTAAGCGTTCATCTGTAACTACCAATGTAGACTCATGGGGAAAATTCGATGTATAGGCACCTAGAAAACTCCGATAGACGCCTCGAGAACAAAAACAGGCCACCCATAATCGTCACACGCTGCGCTCTAAGAATCTAGTCAAGGACAATAGCCAGAATAACAATGGTCAAAATGACGGCGAGGATCAGCAACAGGCAGCAGCTCTTGTTGCGGGCTGCCTTCTGATACCGCGCGGCCTGTCGGTTCTCAACATCAGCTTGCCGCGTGTCATCCCGGACGTTCTCAACATTATCCGCGATCGTTCCAAGCTGCTCTCCCTGCTCGTTGACGATTTGCGCCACCTGTCGGAAGAGAACGTTCAAATCGCCTACACCCTGCTCGATATTGCGGATCTCCTCCTCGCGCTCGATGATGAGAGCCTCCTGGAAGTCGACTTCGTCTTGGGGTGCGAGCTGGGAGACTTGTTCTTGTTGTTGCAGCTGCTCAAGCTGATTGCCGGACTGAGGACCTTCGGCGGAGTCACCCTCCTGGGCGGCACGGGCGGCGGTAACGGATGCGCGCTCCTTCTCGAGGGCTTTTCGCTGAAGGCTTTGGAATTCTTGGAGAGCAGCTTGAAAGTCGCTCGAGACCTTTGTCTGCTCATACTTTTGTTGTTTCTAGATATAATTAGCTTGCGACCGACAATGAATTCGAGACGTTTCCATCATACCGTCAATTCTTCCCAAGTTTGAAGGCGCTTAACGCCCTCGCCGATCTCTCTGCACATATCCCTCGTCTTATCCATGCTATTGTGAACTCGCTCCCGTAGGCGCGGGGTATCCTTACGTGT